GGAAAGAGTGGATTGGGAGTTCAGGAAGGTAGGGAGAACATCAACTTTTGGCCCAGGCAAAAGACTGCTGGGCTTGCAGCTGTATCTCTCTATGGAGGGAGTCCCAGCCCTCAGTAGTTCTCTCCCCTTTGGTGAATCAAAAAGGTCCTCTGTTCTCTACTCCCCTCAAGCTGCTCTCCTGGGGGATGGGTGGGAGGGGAAGGATACCCGTCCTTTTTGGGATGGGTTTTGTATTTGAAATTTGTTTCCTTGGAGTTCCAGCTTGTCATAGCAGGGGTGATGTGAACCTATCAATCCTCTCTGTCAGCTCAGCTCCCGATCTTATGCTTTATTAGGTTATTTCTGGCCATTAATTCTCCCTCTGGATGGGAGCCTCTGCCGAAAGCTGGCTTCAGTTTGCCATCTTACCTCCCTCCCTTAGCCTTGAACTTATATATGTCATTCATCTGGGGAGAGTGAGTAGGTAAGGTTACAAAATTAAGTTTGTTATTCACGCTATTATATGTAACATAACTCTTAATAGGCTATTTACAGGCTCAAGGATGGGGCAAGTTATTTTGAAGTAATCATTGAAATACAGATTAAAATTTCTTTCTGTAAATTTGTAGCTAGGTAATAACTAAAGAGTTTGAAGGTTGTTTTCTGCCCATTCCCCTTTTTGAATGTAAAAATGCACAAACTCTTTGAGCATTTAGAGAAATCTTTTCAGATTTCTAAAAATTAAAAGAAAACACAAATGAAATACCTTTTTAGTAAGCCAAAAGGAATAGACATTTTTGATATGCAAGTTTACAGTTGTGTAACTTTGAATACTAAAGGTAGTATTTTCTTTCTCTTGGTGTTAAAGTCCTGAGTCCTTTTTTCTATATGACATTATTTGCCATCTAGTCATGTTCTATGTTGAATGCTTTAGTGCAGTTTATATTCTGCAAACAGGCAAGTTGGTGAACTGAATTGATTGTAGCCATACAGAAAAGTCAGATAGACCTGAATGTGGGTACTTGCTTCATCAGTTATCAACTATAAGGCTTTAGTCAAGTGATTTATCTCCTTTGAGTCTTTATTTCCTCATCTGTAAATAAGAAAAATGTTCTTCTTCCATTGAATATAAAGGATTCAATGATACAGTTTATTCAGATTACCTGACGTGTACTAGGTATTCAATGAGTTTTGTTTTCTTTCATTTGTTGCTGGCAACTCTTCTAAAATTTTTACATTTGCTTGGTTTAAATTTTTCTGAGCTTCCATTTTCTTGTCTATGAAATGGGGATACCATCCATGTTTGTGTAATCATAAATATAGAATGAAAGCAAATATCTTTATCTTTGTGTTTACAGCTGCAAGCAAGTCATACCAATCTACAAGCCAGATATAATGAAGCAAAGAAAACGCTGACAGAGGTGAGCAGGTTCCATTCTCCATGGGCCTTTGTCGAGAGTCGTTTTTGACCTGCACTACTAACGGAATGTGGAGGAGACGTGATCCCGTTCTCAGAGGCTCCAGTCCATTTGAGGACATAAGACAGTTACATGGTATTGTGTGACCCATGCCATCAGTTTATCCACACTGCTACATTCGAAACCATAGCGGTCTTGGTGGGAGAAGTCACAATGGGCTACGAGGATCAGGAAAGGCTTCCTGAGGAAGACAGGTCTGATGGGCAGGGAGTCCCAGCAGAGGTGAGAGAGGAACTCACAAAGTCACTCACAGTGAAGGGCCTCTGCTTCTTAAGCAGCAGGTTATGTGATAGCTCCAAAATACTGAATCTCATGAGGGTGAGGTTTCTTTTGAAAGTCAAGAGAACTGAGAGTGATATAATTTGTTGTTCTGAATTGCCAGTTAGCTGTGAGGCAGAATGAGGGAGGGGGTCACAGGAGGAGAAGGTCTGTGGGATGTAATTAAACCACAGATTCAGTTCCTGGGCCAGGTTGCGAGTGTACCATCTCGCATCAGCATCGTAGCATTGCTTACCTCCCACTTCTGATTGCCTAGGAAACCAAGAGAGGAAACAGATCTCTCTGATGCCACACCTGTCATGAAGTGTGTTTAGATATTTCTGTCCCTTGGTTTCTACAGAAAGCTATCTTCATCCACACCTGGGGTTTTTTTGTGATTTTGGTGCTTGAGTTATAGCTGTACTCTGGAAGAACCTCATTGCAAGGTCTCTACCTAGCCTTTCCTGGACCATTTGAAAACTGGGATTTTCAAAGTCATCTTTGAATCCAAGGCAGTCCCTACTTTTATAAAATCTCACGTGACTTTTTTCTGTAGCAGTAGGTATGTAGCACTTAGTTTGCCACCTTGCTGTAACTCTGATAGAGCTTTGTAACTCAACTTGGACTAGTTTGTTTAGTTGTTATCAGAATGTTTGAAAGGGGCAGGCACAATAATGGCAACTAGAATAAATTTTTTTCTAAAGATATCTGCCTTTCTCTTAGATCACTGTCCTTTACCTGAAACTGTGTTCTTTATAGATTAGATGACAAGCTCAGAGGGTGGGGGGTATCCCTGCTGCTATATTACTTTTAATAATGCAGAGTCTTTAGCATGAAGTTTGCCAAGTCATGGATCTGTCTTTGTATAAAAATATGGAAGAGATTAAAGGTAAAACGTCTTGATATCAATTTTCTAAGACATTTATATACCTTAGGATATAAATTCTAAGTGGCTATAAAGTGGCTTTTTGTACTAAACACTAAATTATTTGTTGAACCTTTTCCATGTGCTAGAGAGGTGGAAAGTGTGATTTAAGTCAGTAGTAAGAATATACAGTTGTGTACCAGTGGCAGGTCAGAGACTGACCCCACTAAAGACAATAGAACTTGTGAAAAGAAACTGCCGGTGGGGTCAGTCCCTGATACCCCTTTGGTATGTGATTTTAAATAATAACAGCAGCCAGAATTACTATGTGTGGATATGCTCTGGGCCCATTACATGTATTAGTCTGGTGTGGTTGTGAAGATTTAACAGACTAATACACGTGAGACCAGATAAGTATTACAATTCCCGGCCCTGGCATCAGTAGTGTAGGCTGCCGGGTTGCAGCCCATCCACTGTGTGAGTTCAGCAGTCACAATTTTAATTTCTCAGGTGTGAGACTGACTCTTTTTAATATGTGCAGTATTCTCTCATGTCTCTCTAAGACCATTAATTGTATCTAAAGTTTTTCTTATTCTGTAACTCTTCAGGTCAGAATTCCCTTGTTGAGTTGAGATAACTTTTCTGATTATGTCCTCCCTCAAGTTTTTGGTGATTCTTGGGTATGTTCTCATCTTTGATTTTGAAATTTCTGGCTACCATCTCTGTGGATGCTGTGTCCATTCTGGAAGGGTGTTACCTACCACTTGTGGGATCAGCCACTGGTAACCACTAGTGTGGGTTGGGTAACTCCCCCATTTCTCCTGGGGGTTGACAACTATATGGCACCTGGTTCTGCCTCTGAGATTTATGCACCAAGTATTGGGTTTAAGGGAATCGGGCATCATTACTTTGCCTACCTCGCTTTTCCTAGTGCAGATCCCAGCCCTGCAAACCAATCCTTCCTACTTCTGCTAACTCCACATGGCATCCAGCTCAGGCTAGACTTACTGGCCAGCCATCTTTTTTGTACTGTGAGGTTAATTCTTATGATCTTGTCTGGATTTGAGGGGGCACCTGGTTCCAGAAGCAGCTGCTGCAACTTGTGCTTAGACTGCTATTTTCAACTAGACTTAGAATTTTTAAAAAAGAATTTTTTAATAGGTATACATTCACATGGTTCAAAATTCAAGAAGTAAAGAACACTTTTGTAACACAATTTTCTAGTTACCCACTCCAGAGAAACCAACGTAACCAGTTTCTTTTGAATCTTTTCAGAGATAATTTATGAATATGCAAGCAGTCATATGCATTTTTTATGCACGTATACATTCAACATATACATTTCTTTATACACTTTAGAAACAGCTGTGCTCATGGTCTTGCGTTTTGTTTTCTCCATCTATCAATAGATATTAGAGATCATTGTAAAAGAGCTACTTTACTCGTTATTTTTTAAGTAGCAGCTTAGTATTCTATTGTATTATGTAACTGTGTACTTTATAGATTAAAATCTGAGCTTAAATTACTTTTTTAAAAAAAAATCCCATCATTGCCTCAGAAAAAGAAAGTGAAATTATTTAAGAAATCAGAAGTTTTAATTCTGTCTTAGTAACACTCGTAATGTTGATATTCTGAGATTTGAGCCTGGGTCTCTCTTGTAGCCACCTTTTATTTTCCCCTTATTACCAAAGGCACCTGCTTCCAGGATTACTTTGGGATTTCCATCCATTTGCTGCAGTGATTTAAAAATATTGCCAAGGTTTTTCTAACCAGCAGAATGTGTCTAGAAGAGTCTGGTTTTGACCTTTTCAGGTTACCTCTCCACTCCCGTCCCATTTCTTTACCCTATCTGTTTTCTCATTGCACAGCCGAATCCATTTGGCTTAGCCATGTGTCAAAAGTGGGGTACAGATATGAGCCACAGGGAAGGAAGATAGTGCACCCACTGTTCTTCTGTCCTACCACGTCCCTAACAACAGTGCCTCCCTTCTCTCCTGCAGCTGAAGAGCTATGGTGAGAAACTGGACAAAGAGCAAGCAGCCCTTGAGAAGATAGAATCCAAAGCTGATCCAAGGTAAAAGGTTTCAGCATCCATTTATTTTCCCTTTGAAAAATAACTTTGCTAATACATGATGGCTTGTTTGGGGACAAGACAGAGCAGCCCAAGGCCATCAGGTCAGTTCATTTCACATGCTGTGTTGACTCTTTGTTGCCCAGGCACATGCCGAGATGTGCGTGGGTTGCCTTCAGCCCAATTCCCTTCATAAGCAGAAGCAGCATTTTGTTTGTGTTCTCTTCTTGGAGTCAGCCAAACCTTACCTTCATAGTACAAAAAGGACATATGGCAAGAAGTCTTTTTCACACCCTACGCCAGCCACCCAGTTCTCTCCCTGGAATCCACCAGTGTTACCAGTTTTTAACAGCACATGCCTCCTTGGGAGAATAAGTGCAGTCTTTTTTGGCAAGACTTAACTACTGTAATTTTGTTTTGTTTTGATTATTTTTACATTTTCATGTAAAGTTAGTTGTCAGTAGAGAAGAGGCACTAAACATTGGACCTTTTTTGCTCTAGACTATTTCAGTGGTAAAATTTAGATGTTGCTTATTTGAACGAGATTGTAAAATCATAAAAAGTTTCAGACACAGAATGAATAGTTCTGGTTTATGGACATTTTTAAGAAAAAGTGCCCACAGAATACTTGGCTCTATAATTAAAAACCTTTCTTTCATGATTTGGATCAAAGTGCTGTCAGATAGTTAACATTTTTATTTTTTAATTAGTGGTTTTAGTGGGCTTAAGCAAGTGGTTTTCTTTTCAGAATGGATGTTAAACTGTACATGCCCTGAATATAGTTGAATGATTGGCATCATATAACATATTCAGTACTTTTTAAACTTATTCATGTATCTATAGTTGGCATTTTAATTCTGGAATTTGTAATGTTAGTTTAGATCTGGCCTGATTGTCTTGGCTATATAAATGAATAATGATGTCACTTAAGTTGATGGCACTATCATTTGTAGAGACTCCATCAGAAATTCTTGGAGGAGACAAAAAACATTAAAAAGAGGGTCTTTTTTTTTTTTTTAGCTGGGGACCTGATTTTTGCTGTGATTCATAATGGCCTGCCATATGTTTTGTTGTTGTTTATTTTGTTTTGTTTTTGTCTTTTTCCTTCAGTATTCTGCAGAACTTGAGAGCACTTGTAGCCATGAATGAAAATCTGAAAAGTCAGGAACAGGAGTTTAAGGCACATTGTCGAGTAAGTGTTGTTTGGTGTCTTCTCTTGGTTTATTCCCCTTGCCCTATTATAGCACCTCGTCTAAGTGTAGTTTGAGAACAGATCCATCAAACAGTTACTCATGAGGTGTACACAATCAATAGAGCACTGTGGTAGGTGCCCTGCAAGGATCCTAAAAGTAAGTTAGAAAAATAAATATGTGCCAAACTCCAAAATTGAGGGCACAGTCTAGCCCTCAATTGGTAAACAGTTTACCCAATTCACATAGGTATTTGAAAGAACATATTTTTTTAAATATGTTATATTTTATTGATATGAACTTTCTGAAAAAAATCATTCAAAACCAGGCTGTCCTGAAAACCTGGGATATCCATGTGTCCTGTGTATAAGCTCTGGCTCCTGTGATCTGGGAACTTGTATTCTGGTTGTGGGGGTGACACATGCACAGGTGACTAGTGGAGGAAAAAACGAGCCTGGGCAAGTTCAGTGTGACACCCAGTGGAAGAAAGGCCACTCTGGCACAGCGGCCATCAGGAAGCTCAAATCTTAAGGGCAAGGCAGGATGGCAAGTGGAGAAGGGACTTCCAGCTCCAGGCTGGAAGAGCCCCAGGTGGGGTGGACAGGTGGATAAGGCTGAGGCCTTCTGGGAGAGGAAGCAGAAAAGGCTGATTGGAACTATGCTCTAAACCACTGTCATTCATCTTATTTCCCAGTGATTACTACATGCCTCACCAGCTCTTTGGAAAGAAAGGCCTCTTCTGGCTTAGGTACAGCTGCTTGTGTCCTCCTGAAAAGAACTTTCCCAGGCTAAGAATTGGTGTTCAGTGCAGCTAGCTCCTAATTGGCTTTTTGTCCTACATAAATTCATGAAATGTAAAAATAAGATTTTAGGATCAAGTAACTAAATAATTGCATCCAGTTGCTAGCTTGTTCAAGTTTTGTAAATATCCCTTTCACTTTTAAAGGAAGAGATGATACGGCTGCAACAGGAAATTGAAAACCTGAAAGCTGAGAGAGCACCAGCTGGAGATGAAAAGGTAAAGTTCCCGAGTTAGTCCTTGAGACTATTAGGGGCTGTTATGACTTACGTAGGGAAAGGCTTTCTAGAGGACTGACCAGCATATGGTCTGGTGCTCACTTAAACTGGCCCTGTAAATACACATTTCCCAACTGTTTTGCTCCTCTGACTTTCTTAGATTTGTACTCTCTCCTTTCTCTTCCTTAGGGAATAAAAGGCAGCAATGGGTATGAAAGTCAGTAACGCAGATATGAGTTACTAGACCACTCAGTGCTGGCCTCTCTCCCTTTAGGGAGATGTTTCCAGGAAATGCCTGAGCTCTGTTTCCTATCCAATGTATTTTTAAAGTTTATTCCTTTTACCCAATTCACTCTTCTCTCCTGTGCAAGGAAATTCCCCTTTCCTAAAGGCGACAATGAACTTGAAAAAGGAGAACAGTGTTGGGTTTAATGTTAGAGCCCCAGGATTGTAGGAACATCTGGGTTTAGGGAACACTTCTGATCAACTGGTTCTCTGAACAAAGAACTTGATCTTCCAAGGAGCTAGTATGGATTTCTGTTAAGTGTTAAATCAAAAAATGAGGACAGGAAAATAGTCTGTTTTTCTCGCCAAATAAGATTGTAGGAATCCCTTTGGTTTTGTTTTTACTTCTCATACTTCATTCAAATGTTATTTACTGAGGAGCCTTGTGCCTAAGAAGTGAAAGCTGGGTATGGTCTTAGAACCCATTAATGGCACCCTCTCCCTTGTAGAAATGGGGAGCTTGAGGCTCAGGGCAGGGACCAGCTTGTCCCAGCCACCCAGTACCATAGTCCATGTGCCCGACTGTTCTACTCAGCACTCTTCTCCACTGGACTGTGCCCATGGCTACAGGACACTGCCATACCCAGCCGTGAAACAGAGACTTTGCAGGTGTCTCTTCCCTGTCATGACTGGGTTGTGTCATTTACATCTGTTAGGGGATTAAGCATAGGTGAAAGGCAGAGCCCATGACAGCAGTGGTGTCTGAGAACCATCATCACCAAAACTGCCTTTCCAATTGTTTCTAAAACTTTGAACTTTTGAGGCTGAAATCATTGGCTTGGTCAGCCTGAGTTTGCACAAATCACAGACTCACAGGACCACATTTCTTTCTCAGCATGTCCTGTTAGAGGGATTCCTGTTCCTGTTCAAAGAGATTTAGAGTTTACCTTGCTTATGTGTAATTGAGGGACACGTAAGAACAGTTTACAATCTGGGGCTCATGCAAGGCCTGTTCCCTTTCTGTTCACTCCTCACACATGCTCAGTGGGCATCAGATCATTTTCCAGCTGCACTGCCATGCCCCCGCCCCATTCCTTTCCTACATTTAGGCACTGGTCTTCTCTCTCTTTTCCCTTACTCAGGAAACATATTTATTATGTTTCTGTCATTTCAGAGTCCCTCCAGTGGAGAGCCATCCAGTGTCCTGACCTCCATGATGACTCACAAGGTAAGTACCTGCCCATTCCTGGGACTGGTTTTTCCCCAGGTGTATGGCAGCCAGCTTTACACTCTCCTGTGACAGTTTCTCATGCCCACCTTAATGTTCCCTATGGCTACTTCCTCACTTGTTGGGCCTTCAGGAACATTGTCCTATTTGACATACCCGGCCCCTCAGATGGACACTGAAGGGGCTGAAGGTCACCATTCTGGTGGATTTCCTTCCAGACCAGCATGCAAGCATTTTACCTTCTCGCTAGCATCTCAGCAAAAAAGGGGAGGGGCCCTTCTATCGTCTATAAGATTTGTCATGATCAGTTTTTTTGAAATTATCTTTTACTCTTATTTGTAAATATTGTCTATTTTTTGAGACTTTGGAAAAAACAAAATAAGAAGAAGTAGTTAACTGATGACTCTATACTGAACTTCATAATTCTATAATAGACATACTTTTATCTGACAATGTGAATGTTACTTTCTTTGCATTATTATTATTATTGCCTAATATTTCAATGCAGCAATTGTCTGATTTCTTTTCTGAATGTATTTATCTTCATTCATTCCTTGTGAGGTTTTTGTTTTCAGTCCTTAGGTTAAATATTGTTATAGTTATTAAGTTTTAAGCCTTTTTAATTCTGTGAAGGCAAAAGTGGAAACCTAATAAACACATGTATACATAAGAAAAATAAGTTTTAAAAAAGGGAGAGGCTTTCATTGGCTGCACATGCTGGTTACACCCCAGCTCTGAGGGATGGGGGTGGTACACATGCTGGTTACACCCCAGCTCTGAGGGATGGGGGTGGTACACGTGCTGGTTACACCCAGGCTCTGAGGGATGGG